AATGTGAGTGGGGATGCAAGATATACATGTTTGAGGAAAGCAGCACACATCAGTACAGTAGGGCCTGTCCCCGAAGTGTTCCACATGCCATGGTAGAGCTCCTTGTGAGCTCTAGGAAAGGGAGGTGATAGGGATGCTATCATTTTTGTATTTATGCTATGTAGCTTCATCATGTTTATATGTTACTATACTAGATTTATATTAATATGTTGTGTAATCATGTTTTATATGTCACCAAGTATCTATTAATCATCCTCTTTAATAAGATTGTAATGTTTTGTGTAACGTTATCATATTGAAAAAGTCGGGGTGAGTACCAGGCTATAGTCGAAGCGTGTAGTGCTGTGAGGGACTTAGTCTTACTGCAATCCGATATGCCGTGTTTTGTTCATGCTCATGGGAGACCTGCTATTTCCTGGACAGAAATAGAGAACTGTGTTAGGAGGTGGGAACAGGGGCGGGGGGAGCAGGAGGAGAGGAGGGAGGGGAAACTGCGACTGGGGTGTAAAATAAATAAATTTATTTTAAAAAGTCCATGCATTAAAGGCTTGGGCCCCAAGACAACGCTCACAGGAGGTGGAACTGAGGTGAAGACAGAGGGAGGCCTTGGGATCCCCGGCTGCAGCAGCATGCCCTGGGTGGTGGCTGTAGGGTCCTGGTCCCTTCTTACTCTCTGGTTCTCTGGGTTACCATGAGGCATCACAGGTTCCTCCATGTTCTCTCACCAAAGACCTAGAGTAGTGAGGCCAAACTTGACCAAACTTCCAAACCTGAGAGCCAAAAGTATCTGTTTTTCCTTGTAAGTTGACTATCTCTGCTACTCTGTTATTCTTGCAAGAAACCCCAGCAGGTGGGTGCAATGGACTTTTGATATCAGCTTGCTAATATAGCCCAGTATACCTAAGGGAGTTTTTGATCTTTGGTCACATGAATGGAACAAAGGAGATGATAGTTTTTTAGTCACCCCTCATTCAGCACGCTGCTGTATTCATTTTTGTTTATTACTCTTCAAAAAGATCACAATGACATAGTATGTCATGGCTGATGGACATGTTTGTTTGCCGGGTACTGCTTCCTGCCTCGTCTGTTCTAGGCTTCCCTCAAGAGTCACCATGAGCTTCACAAAGTAATAGTTTTCCCCATTCATGAGCTAGGAGTACTCACGTACTCAGCATTTAAATCTCTGGTGTATAAGTTAGAAAATGTAGGTACCATAACAGTAGCTTTCATGCCCTCGTGACTTTAAAAGCTGAATAAAAGGCTGAATCTTCCCCATTTGTCTTACGTTGTGCTTTGCCAGCTGTTTTAGGATTAGCTCTAGTACTTAGAAACTTCCTAGGGAAGGCTTAATTTCTTACAGTGTAATTATATTCAGTTTCATTGCTTTCCTCATATCATATTTTTCTGTACTTCCAGAGTTCCTCTTCAATATTTTTGCCTCTTCTGATTTTATTGGGTGTTTTATTTTACCACCATGCAACATTTCTTATTTTTTGTCATGAGCATTAACAATCTGCTTTGATTAGAGCTAATATCCAAGCAAAATAATTTAATTCTTGAGGAATGTCACTTAGAGTAACAGGAATAATTCTGTTGATACATCCATGCTTACATATCTGTGCTCATGCAGCAGAATATTCCTGTATGTCATAAATACTGGATGCAAAACTTCTAATAATTAGTGTAATGAGAGCCTTGTAGGAATAATAGATTACTGTTTTTCCCCATTTGTACTCATTCTTACCTTTAAAATTGCAATATAAAATTTTCCCATTTTAGACTAGTAAATAATGTTGTTAGAATGCTAATAATCATTTCCACTGAAAAAAATTTTGGTTTTCTGTGGGGGAGGGGCCTTCTAAACCCCCTTGTAACAGCTCTACCACTGAAAGACATTCTCAATGCTTCTGATTTCCCCTTAAATGATTGGTGTTGGGGCTGGAGAGATGGCTCAGAGGTTAAGAACACTGACTGCTCCTCCAGAGGACCTACCTGAGTTCAATTCCCAGCAACCACATAGTGGCTCAAAACCATCTATAATGCGATCCAGGGCCCTCTTCTGGCATTCAGGCATACATGCAGGCAGAACACTGTATACACAAAAAAATGAATCTTTAAAAAGAAAAAAGATTGGTGTTTTATTTTAAATTAAGTGTGTGTGTGTGTGTGTGTGTGTGTGTGTGTGTGTGTGTGTACATATGCACGCATGTACAGGTTCCCATGGCCACAGGTGTCCAGTCCTCTAGAGCTGGATTTACAGGCAGCTGTAAGCCAGCTGGCATGGATGCTGGCAACCAAACATGGGTCCTCTAGAAGAACAAGAAGAACTCTCAGTTGCACAGCCATCTCTCCAGCCCAAGCGGACTTTGGCTTTCTATAAAGAATAAAATAATGATTTTTGAAGTACTTTTTAGTGAGAATAATTCATACTGCATCTCTTTCCTTCCCTTCTGACTATGTCAGTGTTGGTAGTTCTGTTAGGACAGAGGCAGTTCTGTTACTAAGGGGAATGATGTACCCCTTCAAATAATGTCATTAAGAATACATGTAAAATATAAGTGTAGCAAGTCTTAAAATAGCTAATCCTATGTGTAGAAGCATGTCTCAACCTTTTGTAGTTATGTACATTTGTTCACATGTATGCGGGTGTACTAGAACATGTTCATGTGTGTCTGTTTATGCACGTTTACATATGTCCTGTGTTCACACAAAAGTGTTATTTTTTGGTATGTGAGCACCACCTATTGGTTTCTCATGTACTTGGATTTTTTTTCTTTTCTTAAAACCTAATTTAAAAAAAAAAAAAAACCTAATAACATAATAATAATCTTGCTAGTTTTTCCCTCCAGTTACTCTAGTCTTTATTTAAAAGTTGGAGGTTTTGTGCTGTGTCATGGTCTACTCCATCCAGAGTCCCAGAGTGCTGTGGTAAAAAGTAACAGGAAGAAGGTCTTTTAGAATATGTTTTTCATGAGATTGTTGTGGCTGTCTTAATGAAGTGGAAACAAAACTATACTTGGTTCTCAATAAGTTTTTATAATAGAATTACACTCGAAGAAATTGAGCCATCATTCGTTAAAAATCAATCTTTTTTTTCTTTCTGAGGGATGGGATTTATTCTGTAGTCAGAGATGACCGCAGTCTCTGATCTTCCTGCCTCTGCCTCCCAAGCACTGGGATTGGAGGAGCGTCCACTGTGCCCAGCTCAGGAAAATCACTAGTAATGAAACTTAACAATGGCAGTCATAAATAATCAATCAGTAACTGAGTGACAGCAGCCTTGATTGTAACTGTGCATGACGGCAGAGTCCTTGGTGTGTCCCTTGTATTCCAGCCATGAGTCTCCATGTTCTAAAAGTGGCCTGCATCTGACCCTTGGGCAGTGTGTTCTAGTTCCTGATAAGCTTGAGCCTTTGCTCTGCATTTGGAACATTGAAGCATCGATGTGTGTTTTCTACAAGAAGGGACTGGAAGCAGTTTGGCTTGCTTTATTTTGAAGACCATCAATGGTATTAATTACTGCAGTTTATTTCCTGTCATCCTTAGCCTAAATTAAGTGGGCATCAACCTCTGTTTACCCAGTTGTAACGGCAATGAGGGTATTTGGCTGTCTACAAGTCTGGTCTCCTGATCTTTAAACTCTCAGTGCAGGCCATATATGGTACCAATTGCACATTACTCCTTTTGGCCCTCAGCAATGCTTTTTATAGGCATGTATACTAATTAGTTAATTAATTGGGACTCAGTGTTCTTCTGGGGTTTTTTTTATTTGATATATAATTGTTATCGTTTTTTATGAAAATTGTCCCAAGATTTATAATAATTCCTCATGTTAGCTACACTCCCCACTACTTTAAAGGTCAGAAAATATAATTGATTAAAATTATATGAAATAATAGTTTATAAGGTTTAAGTTCTACTAAAACTATTAGCTTTCTTTCTTTCTTCTTTCGTTTCATTGCCTTTTTCCTTCCTGTCCAGCCAAGTGTTTTTATTTTTAGTGGGAAAGAATACATTGTCAGATTACCAGCATGATTCTAGATAAGTAAAAGCATATCTAGGCATGAATGTTTTCTTTTGTGGTATTCAGATATCAAATCACATTGTGATATTTTAAGTATTACTTCATAAGTTTATTTTTCAATAGTTTAGAACTCTTTCAAGACCCTTGTCTTAGTTATTTTTCTGTTATTGTGATAGAAACGCCATGATCCAGGAAACTTATAGAAGGAAAGGGTTTGGGGTGCGCCCATAGTTCCAGAGGGATGAGAATCTATGGCAAGGAAACAGTAGGCATGGTGGCTGGAGCAACATGCTGAGAGCTGAAGGCTCACGTCTCCACAAAGAGGAAGGAAGGGGTCTGGCATGAAGCTTTTGAAAGCCCCACTCAGTGACATACTCCTTCCAACAAGGCACGCCCCTAAACCTACCCAAATAATGCCACAGGCTGGGGACCAGGTACTTCTGAGCCTACAGAAACATTCTCATTCAAACACAACCCTGAGAGTATGCAGAAATGGTTTTGAAGTGCTTTAGTGTCTTACTGTCTTCATCCAGTGACCTACTTTATTAAAAAAGCAATTCAGTATCTTATGGTTACCTAAAGCTCACCGAAAATAACTTGATGGTCCCAAAGATCTAAGCACATTTACTGAATAAATGTTGAACTTTAGCTAGCTCACAATACAATGAATTTAAAAGATAAACTTGAGAAAAGATTGATGGGGGAATTGATTGATCTCTATACTTAAGCCTAAAAACTCCGGTGCCTGAGTGATCTAACTGGAAAATATCCTTGCCTGCCAGCAATGTCCAAGTAAGGGGAAGAAAAATAAAATACTAGAGTGGAATAGAGAGACTTTCTAAGCCAAACCACATCTTCCTGCATGGGATTTGACGTCGAAGTGTTTGGTTTTTGCTTTTGTTTTTTTGTTTGTTTTAAAGAAATGCAGTTGTTTATGAGGATGTAATGAGCTAAGGTCGCTCTGGCTATCTTCCAGCTTGTGGAGAGACTCCAGAACAAATCCGAGCACCTAGTGGAATAATCACAAGTCCAGGCTGGCCTTCCGAATATCCTGCCAAAATCAACTGTAGCTGGCTCATACGGGCAAACCCAGGGGAAATCATTACTATAAGGTAATCCTGATACCTTTCGTATTGTTAATCTTGTATTTACAAGTATGAGTACAATTTCTAAATAGCATTGCCATAGGCACAGTAATATAAAAATACCTTGCAGAACATAAAGTAAGTGATAGTTATCAGTGTCATTTAAAAAGTAGGCAGTGACCTAACAAGGTGTGTCTTCAGTATTTTCTGTTGCTGATAGCATGCAGTATAGAGCTGGAAGTCCTCTTGCCTCAGCCTCCAGAGTGCTGGGTTCCCCCTCCCGAATCCAGGATGAACACGCCATATAAAATACAACCCACTACACCCAGCTGTCTAAACCACTTCTTAACAAAAGGTGTGATTTGATAAATAGCTTATTAGGATCAAGAATAACCTTTAGCAGCGCGTAGAGAAACAAAACCCACCAACCAGCTCAAAGATCCATGCCTCATTCGTTGACACCTCTACTTTAAAGAAGTTCAAATACGATTCTGAGTAGGCATGGATGTGTTTATAAAACTGTAAACATGCTATTAAGCATACCTTGAATTTAATTTTTGCTTCTTTGATATGTCGTTGCATGTGTTGCGGGTATGTTCACCCACGTTTGCACATGTGGCGATCAGAAGCTAATGCTGGGCATGTTCCTCTATTACTTTGCACCTTTTTCTTTTGAAAAGAGTCTCTCACTGAGCCTGGAGCTGTCTTAACTAGACTTGTAGCCAGTGAGCTTTGGGAATGAGCTTGTACCCCCTGTCCCTCTAAGTACTAGACTTACAGACATGTTCCACCATGCCACATGGGTTCTGGGTACCCAGCCCACATCCTCATGTTTGCACGGGAAGTGCTTTTCTCACAGAGCCAGCTCCTCAACCTCCCCCACCCCTTTATAGGTCAGAAGCAACGTGTCCTGTGCCTTGATCATATACAACCCGTTCAGATGTAAAATGAGCCCATAACAGGAAAGTTTAAGTTGATTTACTTTACTAATAAGTAAAATAGAAAGTATATCATTCTCCAGGGAGATGCTTTAAAATATCTAACTATTAAGGATTAAGGATAAAGTGTATATTCAACTTTTTAAGGTAAAGTTAAGATCCTGACTAACACAAACTATATAGGAATACAGAAGTGTGCTGCGTTTGTTTTATATTTTAAGAGACTGAGCTGGCCTTCAACATGATACATAGCCAAAGATGACCTGAATTCATGATCTTCCTGCCTCAGCTTCCTTAAGAACCATGGTTATAAACAGTCTGAATTGAAGCGGGGAAGAAGATCCTAGCATTACATGAGTGAGAGCTCTCTGTGTAGACTTTAGAGATGAAGATGTAAACTATTTCTCCTCTTTCTTCCCCCTCAGCCCATAGACAGGGACTGCAGACTCAAGCCCCAGGTCTGGTTGTTTTGCTTAAGAAAACATGTGGGGGGAAAACATTCTCATAGCCGTTGGTTGCCTCCCAGCAAACATGAAGACTTTGCTACGTATTGACTCCATGGTAGGATCTGCAGTTGTAGAAACACAGGAGAAAAGGAGGAAGGGAGGGAGGTCCATCCAGAGCACCTCCCACAAAGTAAGCCCATACCCCACACTCCAGACAGTATGAAGAAAGTGTAATCCACCTGTAATACAGTTTACTCAGACATTGCAATATTTATGATGTCAGGGGTTTCTTTCTTAACCTTTTCTGTCCCCCCTATACATGGTAGTCTGGTCAAACCTATGAACTAATTCCCAGAATGTTTCTTCATTTATAAAACACATCTCATTGCAAAGTATAATTGCATAAAATATAACTAACTAACTGCTGGGTATATTCGGATATTTATAATATAATAATATGTTTATTGACATGTTGACTAAAATAAATCACAGGGGTTTTGTTGGTGTAAATAGTATTTTTAGGCTGTGAAAAACTTAAATGTGACATGAAAATCTGACTCATTGTAAGAGAGAGGGGCAGGTATATAAGGGTCTCTGAAAGTGCTGTGCGTGGTAATGAGGCAAGGGCCAGCCTGAGCTGGAGTGATTGAGAGTGTTTAAAGAACAAATAGCCTGACATAATCCTTGCAGTTAACTTCCTTATCACTTGATTTAAAGTGGAGGCAGAGAGATAAAGTCAAATTTTCATTTGTTAGCAAGCCATGTTCAGATTTGGAAGCAAAATTGGATTTCTCATTTCTACTAAGCAGTGGCTGCTTTTCCTGTCCTTGTCTGACTTTTTGCCATTTACTTGTTGCCCATATTTTAGGGACTACATGATAATGTTTAACTGGAAAGTGATTTATATGAAAGAGTTTCCCAAACTCAAGGACCTTTCACAACAAATGTTACTCTCGTTTGTCCCTGCTCTCCCTCTCCCCCTCCCCCTCCCCCTCCCCTCCCTCCTCTCCCCCTCCCTCCTCTCCCCCTTCTCCTCCCTCCTCTCCCCCTCCCCCTCCCCTCCCTCCTCTCCCCCTCCCTCCTCTCCCCCTTCTCCTCCCTCCTCTCTCCCTCCCCCTCCCCTCCCTCCTCTCCCCCTCCCCTCCCTCCTCTCCCCCTCCCTCCTCTCCCTCTCCCCCTCCCTCCTCTCCCCCTCTCCTCCCTCCTCTCACTCTCCCCCTCCCCTCTGTCCTCTCCCTCCCCCCCTTTCTTTTCCCCCTTCCCCTCCCCTTTTCTCTCTTTATTGCTCTGATTTGCTGTCCTGGGGATGTTAGCCAAAGTGGGTGACCCCTAACTGAAGAGAAAGAGGAGGTTTATTTTCTGGCTCAAGCAGGAAGAGCTGTAGGATGATCAGGGTAGGGAAGGGGTTTTCCTAAAGATATTAGCAACAAGAGCCTGTGCTGTCACCTGGTTCACCGTGGTTCTGGAACCTTCAGAAGGATGCAGGTGTAGGGGCCGCGAAGAAGATGTGTGGTTGCCGAGGACATGGCTGCCTGCCGGAGCAGAAGACACAGGGACCTGGAGTCTTGTCTTCCCTTACGTCCCATTTTTATGAACATTCTTGTCTTGTCTTCGGTTTTGAATGACTCTTCCGACATTCTCTTGTTTTAGTTTCCAGGACTTTGATATCCAGGGGTCCAGAAGGTGCACTTTGGACTGGTTGACAATAGAAACATACAAGAATATTGAGAGCTACAGAGCTTGCGGGTCCACGGTGCCGCCCCCATACATCTCCTCACAGGACCATGTCTGGATCAGGTTTCATTCAGATGACAGCGTGTCCAGGAAAGGCTTCAGACTGGCGTACTTTTCAGGTGTGTTTTTGAAAAGAAAAATGCCGAACCACATTTTGTGGTATTACCTGCCCAATCACTTTAGTTCATTTTCTGAACTGTGTCCCTTTAATTATGTGTCAGCCCTCAAGGTAGCTGAGGTTGAAGACTAGAAGCTAAAGTCAGCTGCCTTAAAATTGAGTATCCAATTTGATGTTTATATAACCATAATGAAATTATTAATTGATAAACTGAGGTATATCTTCTAAAACATCTTGAATATATTTGTTTTGAAAGACGTAAGCTTGCCTCAAAGCTTTTGCCCATATTGCAAAGACTACATCAGAGTATTTTTTTTTTTAGTGTGTGAATTACTGTTTTCATTACATCTTAAGTAAAAGACAAAACCCATTCCACCAGCACAATTTACAGCCTCAGACTTTTTAATTTTTCTTTTCCTAAACCATTCCCAAGCATGACCAAGTCATACTCGTGTGGAAAACTTAGAGCACTCAGGGTACCTGTTTCTTATCACCGCCGCCTTTGTAACATTCACTCAGCTTGAAGTATTTCTGCCACCTCCTTACCCGAAAGTAAGCTGGTAGTGGACAGGCAGCAATGAGCCAGCTTTTGTCAGATTCTGTAGGAATGTGCTTGGGTCTGGTTCGTGTCTGTTGCTCTTGTGGAATATTTAACATGGTGTACTGGAATAATTCCCTAAACACTTTCCCCCCCCCCCCTCCTTTATTAACAATTCTACTCAGATTTTTGTGCTCCAGGAAGCAACCATATCTGGTAATAAACACTGGCGATCATCGTGAAGTCATTAAAAATAAAACTATAAAATGGAAGTATTTCACCATGATTACATGACGAATAGCCAACTTAAAGATGACAGTTTATCAAAAGCAGGTCTGAGTTGTAAGATACACTACAGTGTGCCTAGCAAAGCCCCTGCCATGTGTGAGGATAGAGACAAGCGTGGTAGGAGAATGGGAAAACATGTTTGCAAAGTGTTTGCCTGGTTGGTTTCCCTTTCTTTAAACGTGTCTCCTGTTTTAGTTATGTCTATAGAACGTTAAATTCTTAGGCGGTGTATCCTTTGGTTCATGTGTCTTAAGTCATTTCACTAAATGTTCTGCAATGAAATAGCTATCTACAAAATAGCATTGATCCTTTCATATCTTTAGGCAAAAGTGCCAGGAGCTTTGTGGGGAAAGAACAACACTTAATAAATGGAGCTGTTGAGTATGTAATGCCAGTGTGAATTCCTCACTAGAGTTTAACACACTTCTAACAAGGTTTTTAAAAGCCTTCTCGCTTACTAGAAAAGCATGCACTCCCTGTCTTTTGTAGTGTGGATGTGCTTTATTTTTCTTCTTCTGTCTCCCGTTTCCCTTCCCCACGTTCTCCCAGGGAAATCTGAGGAGCCAAACTGCGCCTGCGATCAGTTCCGCTGTGGGAACGGAAAGTGTATTCCAGAAGCCTGGAAGTGTAACAGCATGGATGAGTGTGGAGACAGCTCCGACGAGCAGGTCTGTGCCAAAGACGCCAACCCCCCAACAGCTGCCGCTTTCCAGCCGTGCGCCTACAACCAGTTCCAGTGTCTGTCCCGCTTCGCCAGAGTGTACACCTGCCTCCCCGAGTCTTTAAAGTGCGACGGTAACATTGACTGCCTGGACCTCGGGGACGAGATTGACTGTGACGTGCCCACGTGTGGACAGTGGTTAAAATACTTCTATGGTACTTTCAACTCCCCCAACTACCCAGACTTTTATCCTCCCGGAAGTAACTGCACCTGGCTGATAGACACTGGTGATCATCGGAAAGTCATTTTGCGCTTCACTGACTTTAAACTCGATGGTACTGGTTACGGTGATTACGTCAAAATATATGACGGGCTGGAGGAGAGTCCGCGGAAGCTCTTGCGTGTGTTAACCGCTTTCGATTCCCACGCCCCTCTCACGGTCGTTTCTTCCTCTGGACAGATAAGAGTGCATTTTTGTGCTGACAAAGTAAACGCTGCAAGGGGCTTTAATGCCACTTACCAAGTAGACGGCTTCTGTTTGCCGTGGGAAATACCCTGTGGAGGGAACTGGGGGTGCTACACGGAGCAGCAGCGGTGCGATGGGTATTGGCACTGCCCGAATGGAAGGGACGAAATCAACTGTACCATGTGCCAAAAGGAAGAATTCCCGTGTTCTCGGAACGGTGTCTGTTACCCTCGTTCTGACCGCTGCAACTACCAAAACCATTGCCCAAATGGGTCAGACGAAAAGAACTGCTTCTTCTGCCAGCCTGGCAATTTCCACTGTAAAAACAACCGCTGTGTGTTTGAGAGCTGGGTGTGTGACTCCCAGGACGATTGCGGGGACGGCAGCGACGAGGAGAACTGCCCGGTCATCGTGCCTACCAGAGTCATCACAGCAGCCGTCATAGGGAGCCTCATCTGCGGCCTGCTGCTCGTCATCGCCCTGGGCTGCACTTGCAAGCTTTACTCTCTGAGAATGTTTGAACGGAGGTCAGTATCAAGACAAACTTCAGTTTACCGTTTCCGCAATAAACATATCATGGCCCAGGGGTTGGGGTAGCTCAATTGGTGAAATGCATGCCAAATAAACAGGAGCTGAATGTGATGGCCAGTACTCACACATGGGACTAAACATGGAAGCGGAGATATGAGGACCGCAGGGGTTCACCACCCACCCAGCCTAGCCTAATTGGCAAACTCCAGGGTTCATTCAGTGAGAGCCTTGTCTCTGTAAACACCCAAGTTGACCTCTGGCCTCCACACCCACACAGGAACTCACACTCATGCATGTAGGCATATACTAAAAAGAGAAAAGATTTAAAAGGGTGGCCCAAGTGTTTGCCATAAGTCCTTTTGATGTGGTTTGGAGATGTATAAATGTTTAGGATATATAAAATTAGGATGGAAAGCCCACTAGTCAAAGATAAACAAAAGCCAAAAATATTATTTAGCTTTATGAGATAAGAAATACATTTACTAGGTTACTGCCTTGAGGGGATTTTTACAAACTTATTCTCAGTTAGAGTTTTATCTTGTTTTTATAAATATTCAATAATTCCACATATCAGAGTCTCCAGTGTTTGTAGCATTCTACAAGTGAGAAGAAAATAAATGAACCATAGTCTCTCAAGCAGGCTCACACTAGGGAGCAGTCTCTGAAACAGTGGTGTGAACGTCCTCATGGTGGCAGCATGTGGAAGCCCTTAATCCAGAGGTAACTTTTGAAATAGGAGTGCAGAGTGTACAGAAGGGACACTGGGGAAGTGTGTAGGATTCCAGCCATGCTCCAAGAATAAGTACATAATTCATTTGATCTGGAGCCTTGGAAACACTGGCCATGCCCAGTTCAGTGAGAGATGGGTTCTCAGTTTAGCCAGGAGGAGGATGGGCTACAGGGAGAGCAGCTTCCAGTGTGGTATAAGATAAACTGAAAGAAGTTAATGGCAGAGATGTCTCCCAAGAGGCCATTGTGGGGACAGCTGCCTTCAGTCCTAACAGTTACAAATTACCAATTAACAAAGAACAGGGCCAAAGGGCTAAAGATCACAGATGGTGCACAGATGCGTGGGGTGGTAAGAGCCATTGCCACCGTCTTTTCTCTGAGAAACTTGACCATACCACAGCAAAAGAACACGGTGGTCAGTCAGGTCTCCAGTGCCATCCGGCTGCTGACTCGAGAAAAAGCGTAAAGGCCTTGATGGACAAAGTGTCCTCTGAGACCTTTCAACAACCATCTCCTAAAGTCTAGGGGCTTTGGGTTTTAAAATCTGTTATTTTATCGTGTGCCTTTCACAGAGATTTAGTGATCTAGGCTCTTGCCGGCATAAAATGCCTCTGGCCACACCATTCACATCAGTCTGGCCTCGAGTAGAGCATTTCCTGAGTAGGATGGTGCGGTTGAGTAAGTTGGTTAAAAGACTCATCTGGCCTACATACTGATGGTGGAACACGGCCCTTGCTGCCCTCTGACCCTTTCATTCCTGTTCACAAAGGTCGTTCGAGACCCAGCTGTCCCGCGTGGAAGCAGAGTTACTCCGGAGAGAAGCCCCTCCCTCGTATGGACAGTTGATTGCTCAGGGCTTAATCCCACCCGTGGAAGATTTTCCAGTTTGTTCACCTAATCAGGTATAATACAGATTTTAATCCCTGATTCACCATTGTTTCCAGTGTGCGTGTAGTAAAGCAGTCAAGCAGATATTAAATATATGGAGAACTGAAATTATGTACTTTATTATATTGTAAACAGAATCTATAAAATTCTAATTTTTATGATTATAATATGATTACCATTAGACATTTTGCTTTTTATGATGAGTGAGTGCACTGAAATTTGAAAACTTATACCTGTTTTCTGACTGAACTGAACACTCAGAGACTTAAGAATGAATACTAAAATTAGTATACTAACAATGTTACTTAGCCAGTTTTAAGTAAAAGTGACTGAAGAGAAGTTGTTTGCCCCTCGTTTGAGAGAGAACTTCAGTGTCTAAGAGTTTGGTCTATTTCCTTTGGGTTGTAATTCATGTTTCTTGATTCTTCAAATTTCTCAGTAAGTTTTTAAAAATTTTCATGCTGTAAAAATATACCAAGGTTCATTTTAGTCAGAAGGGTTTATATGAATGTTGATTTTAAGTGTATCCACAAATGTTTATAAAAATGGTTCTCAGAATTGGAACTGAAAAGCATGGATATTTTCTCAGTGACTCTGGAAACAGATCACCATTTCACTGCTAGCTCATGCCACCTTATTTGAGTGTTTAGCAAATCCTTGCTTCGTATTTATAGGTTTTGAACATTTTTCCAGGTGTAACTTATATTCAGAATTTATACTGGCCAAATTTTGGGTGTAAACAGAAAAGAAACTAAAGTATAGTTTCCCTGTATTGTTGGCCCTGCCACAGTCAGAGTGTCTTTGGAGGTAGGTGACAGAGTATGTTTGACTCAGTTTGACTGGCTCCCATCACCCTTGTCCCCATCGTGCTCCGTGAATCTAGGAGGAGCACAGACCAAGTAACTGCTCACAGGAACCATTTGCAAGTCCAGGAGCCTCCCCAGCCAGTCCCTCGGGTTTCTAGCCCACTGAAAGGATTTGAAGGGCTCACTCAGAGCTTTGCCCATGGCTGCATTCTATTACTGTGAGAGGTGCAGATTAAAACAGACTGAGGGAAGGTACATGGGGCAGGGTCCAGGCAGCCCAGTGGACCTAGAATTGCTCTGTTTACACCTGTGTGACAATATCCCAGAGCTGTCACCAATCAAGGACACCCACCTGAGCCTCCATCCAGACTCACATAGATAGGCACGATCAATTGTATGTGGCTAGTGGAAGTCTGTACCCTCCTCAAACTGTCACCTCGCCCTGACTCACAGCATGGTAGCTGCCTGCCATTCCCCAGGGAGATGGCCTTTTTCCATCAGCCATGACACTTGAGAAGCCAAGGTCAGACAGAGGCTTCAAGGAAGGCTGAGTTCTTTGTTCCACATTGCTCCATTCTGCAGAGCTATAAATTATCCCTGTGAGAGAATTCTCTCTTTAAACAACATTTTAAATGAAGTGCGTTCTTGAACAGTAAACTAGACTTTGTGTTAATGAGACCAAACTTTCAAATTTGAAATTTCTGACAACAAATTACCATCTTTCCACGAGTTTTTAAAAGAAAATAATTGTGTGATTTGCCATCTGGTATAAAATAAGAAATGTTTCCGGGGAGGTTTTGCTGCTTCACAAATGAAGCCATAGACAGTCATGCACCAAACATCCATGATATTTCCCATGTAGAATCTAGTGTTAAGCTGGCCGTCTTTATGAACAGGCTCTTAACTGGGTAGGGATGCCTCCTGGTTGTGGCTGTCTGTAATGATAAAGTGTGCTGAGGCCAGTCTCTGCTCACCCATGTGTGCTATTAACCGGTGCTCACTTGACGGTGGCTTGAATATTAAGTGCTCAGGTCTGTGAAGAAGTTCTTTCTAAACTTGAACTACTGTTTTTTTGTTTTTTTAATTTTTTAGTTAGATATTTCTTAATTGGTAGGGAAAAAAAAAAAAAAAAAAAAAAACTCAGACATTTTGTACTGAAAGTCCACGTGTGCTGATAGCCAAATACATACTAAAGCTGGGCTAGGAGATTCTCCTTAGTGGTGGCCTCTTAGCCTTTGCTGAATTGTTTTCAGACTGTACAGGCATGACTACAGAACCATGACAAACAGGTGCAGAACATATGCTAGCGTATCTTCCCCATTCCCTGCCCTTTTGTTTCTGTGAGAGGAAGAGCCAGATGCTGGGCCTTGGCAGAGGAACGCCTCAGCCAGCCTTCTCTGAGACACCCTAGGATTTTAAATGCTCGATCCAGGTTCACGAAAGCCCTGTTTGTTCCAGCTCTATAACCACTAGGTGGAGCTTAGAGACTATTTAAATGCTGCACATCTTAAAGAATAATCTAACACTTTCATCTAGAACTTCTTTTAATTACATTTACTCACTGTTGTGTTTGGAAGAAGGGGCATGCTTGCTATGGTGCCACCTGTGGTGGTCAGAGGACAGCTTAGATGAGTCTGGTCAGCTCCAGGTATCAAACTGGGCAGCCAGGCCTGGAGGCTCAAGCCTTCACCTGCTGGCTTTCTTTCAGTTGTGCAAGATACTTTTATTATGTACTAATTAATTTGTGAAGCATTCCATATTTTAAAGTCTATAATATAATCATCAGTTTTAAAGACTAATATGGGTTGTGTTTAATCTTAAACTGAAAAAAAAGCTTAATTCTTAAAATTGAGAAGGAATCCAAGTATATACTTTCCATGTCTATTGTGTATTACAAGTGTGCTCTGCCCTTTATTTGTGACAGTAGAACTGAATCCTCATTGCTAATTCATTCAATCCTGGATGACCAGCTCTGAAATGCAACTTCCACACTGACCGCCAGTCCAGCCTTGTAAATCAAGGCTAGGTTTTTTGTTTTTGTTTTAAGAGGATAAAGGGTCATAAACATACACGATACCAGGTCACTTAGTGAAGTCCGGTGGAGATTTGTTGATCTCCCTGGTTGTAAATGAATCTATTTTCTACCCTTGGTACAGTTTTGGAACTGGATTATTACTGAGGCTTGAAATAAAATACTTGCAATTGTCATAACTCTCAGTCGGTCCTGCCAGCTTGAGAGGTCTGTACTTGAGAGAGGGAGTGTGGATGAGGAAAGAAACAGGCTAGAGACAGAAGATAAGTCAGGAGAGCACCTCAGTGAACACTGGAGTCCCCCTTAAGTTTATTGCTCAAAATTCTTACATACAAAAGACAAGGAACAAACAGATTTAATTACTTCCTTAATTCTTCAAACATTTAGTAACCACGCCTTAAATCAAACCTCTTGTTATCTGGCTTTGAGAATTAAGACATTAGTATTCTGTCATCTAGGTAAGACACCCTCGCCTTAGGCCAAGCATCCTTTAGTAGCCACACCTTAGACCTTTAGTCTTAGGCCTTTAACCTTGAAAGAGCAAGGATAGTTTTGAACTCTCTGACCTTAAGTGAATATGGAACGGAGCCACCTCTATAGACCCAACAATTCTCACTGGAAAGTTGAGATTTAAGTTAGAGTAGATTCTCTAGAGTGGACCCGAGGAGCCTAAGGAATTTACTTCATCCCACTCCTAGTAACAGTGAGTCAGAGAACGTTCTTCATCGTTACTGATGTCTTCCTTTTTCCCCATGACTTTTGCAGGCTTCGGTTTTAGAGAACCTGAGGCTAGCTGTCCGCTCTCAGCTGGGGTTTACTTCAATCAGGCTTCCTATGACGGGCAGGTCCAGCAGCATTTGGAACCGGATTTTTAATTTTGCAAGATCACGTCACTCGGGATCGTTGGCTTTGGTCTCAGCAGATGGAGACGAGGTTGTCCCGAGTCAGAACAGCGGCAGAGAAACTGAAAGGAGTCACCTTCACAGAGGCTTGTTTTCCGTGGAATCTGATGACACCGACACAGAAAATGAGAGAAGGGATACGGCAGGAGCGGCTGGTGGGGTGGCAGCGCCTCTGCCCCAGAAAGTCCCTCCCACCACAGCCGTGGAAGCCACCGTGGGAACAGGTGGGAATTCCTCGGCCCACAGCACCCGAGGTGGTGGCCACGTGGATGGAAGGGATGTGTCCAGTGTGGAAGCCCCGAGTGTGAGCCCAGCGCGTCACCAGCTCACAAGCGCTTTAAGTCGCATGACTCAGGGCCTGCGCTGGGTGCGGCTCACGCTAGGTCGATCGAGTTCCACCAGTCAGAACCAGAGTCCCCTGAGACAGCTTGATAGCGGGGTGAGCGGAAGAGAAGAAGACGATGACGTTGAGATGCTAATCCCAGTTTCCGATGGAGCTTCAGACATTGATGCCAGTGACTGCTCCCGGCCTCTTCTCGATCTCGCCTCAGACCAAGTACAAGGGTTTAGACAGCCCTACAGTGCAGCGAACCCTGCAGCCAGAGCCAGTAACCGCGATGGCCCCTGCCAGCGCTGTGGCATCGTGCACACCGCCCAGATACCAGACACTTGCTTAGAAGCAACAGTGAAAAACGAAACCAGTGATGATGAGGCTTTGCTGCTGTGTTAGGATGGAATCCCCAGAGAGACTGTACGAGCTGGAGCAATATCCATTCATTGTTTTGTAACTTCACAATTAAACTAGTTTTAGTTTAAAACAAAAAAATGCAGGGTGATTTTTTTTATTAATTATTATTATTATTATATGTTAGCCTGCATGGTTGAATTAAATAACGTGTTAACTCTATGAGCTAGAGTTTACTGGTTTAGCAGTTAAAAATGCATTATGTATTTGTTTTCTTCTGTCATGTTCTTCCATTTGTTTTTACTTTGTTTTAAGTCCTGGTACTTTAGTTTAATGGTAAAATATGGCTGCTTTAATTCACTGTCATCTATCTCATGTTAAAAGGTTTAATTGAATCATTTATGCTCTTTGACACCATGTAATTTATTATACTAGATGCTAAGGTTGTTAATGTACAAAAACAAAAAAAGAAAACAAACTCACATGATCACCTCTTTATTTGCATTACATTGTCTGCTACCGGATTTCATCAGACGGGCCTGTCATAGGGAAAAGAATTTCCTCTCACATTTAACACACAATGATGTAATAAAACTGACGTACAGTTAGATACATTGCTGTCAGAAAACAAATTTTTCTAGATTTTCTAATGCTGACTTTAATACTCTAATATGGTACAGACCAAATGGTAAAATCCCAAGACATTTATGTTTTCATCTCAATTTAGGGACAGAATTATGCGGACGAAGATACTCTACTATGCATTAAATTTTGAACTTTATAAAATATGTACAGAAATTGTACATGTTAAGTTCCACCTGGTAATGTCTTTCTTCAGTACAGGGATTTGCTTGAGTTGGACCCTAAGGGGTTTGCACTAAAGTCCTGCCAAGGTCTCACACAAGTCTAGTGTGCTGGCACTATCACACTTTAGATGCTATCATTTGCTACCACAGTGACTATATATTTCCATAGCTTTCGGGAAGGGGGACCATTTTTATTACAACTTGAACTTGCTTTGCTGGTTTCATATTTATTTGTTGTATTTAAAAATTGCATTATTGTAAGAGTGATTTTTTTCCAGTATATTTTATTCTTGGGGGTACAGAAGGGGGAGAGTCACCGCTATAATGTTGAAAAGCAAATTAAGAATTTGTTCTGATTGCCCCCTCTTTAAGTAGAATGAATTACAAAACCCCATTTTTTTTTTTCTTTTTAGTGTCAATTCTTGTTTATTTATTCTTTAGCTGTCTGTTTTAGTAGCTTAATGATTGTGTATGAAGACGTGTTTGTATGTGGTTATTGCTATTTATTACATTTTGAATACTTTGCTGAATGTCATTTTAAAGCATGTTTGAGGTCTTGTGTATCTGTCCTGTATGCCGTCAGGAAGACCTGACAAAAATGTTTTAATATGTATCAAAATTAAAATAATTTTTTTTATTGCCTTGGGGTACTTTTTAAATCCACATTGTTCTTTATTTTTGTTGACCTTCAGCTCATATACCAATTCAGACCATATGCAATACAGTTGAAGCCATGGAACAAGGTAGATCGAGCCTGGTCTTAGCTCTGAGCACCTCTGCGGTTAAGTTTTAGAAGTGCCAGTGTAGCTTGCTGACATGTACCATGTGCCTGCTAGTTCTGGGGTTTGCTGTGGTTTCTCTTTTAGTTTATGGCAAACACTGTCCTACTCAGCCTACCCAGTCCTTAATCCCTCACCGGTGTTCCTCGTTAGCCTGAAAGTAAGTCTACAGATGTTTCTGTCTTCACTTTACTTTTTCAGGTAGTAAGATTTTTTTTTTCTTTTTTTGATAGAATTGGATTTTGTTTGTTTTTTGTTTCATCTCATGATTTTTCATCTTTGAAAAGTCAAAAACAATGTGTAATAATCTTGGGAAATGAACCTCTCTCTACATTCACTAAATATTCCAAGGATACTTTACAAGGACTTTTTACATAATACACATTTGAATAGCTAGTACATTTGTTTGGGTTTTCTGTACACCTGGCCCTACCCGTTTATTATCAGAGCAGCAACGTTGGGAAAAAAAAAAACAAAAGAAAATAGACATACCGGAAGGGGGTCCTGTGGCCGGCGCCTGCCACCGCTCCAGTGCACCATGCTGGAGTACACCCAGGGACATGAGGGTCCTAGCCCCCCTTGTCAGACTGTCACCCCCCACCCCCCAAGCTGGAATAAAAATGAACAGGAAAGAGTGAATCCATTCCATTCAGTTTGCTAGCTGCTTACTTCGTACCCACCATGGTCACACGTGTTCACATTTTGCTGCCCTCCAACCAATCCCCCTGAATTCCAAAGAAAAGGTAACATCTTGATTCCACCAGCTTTGTTTAGAGTCCTGTTGAAAGCCCAGTGGAGATGTTGATAGAAGCCTTTTCTTGGGGTCACTGAACTCCCGAGGGTCGTACAAAGCTGACAAGTTAAATGAGATTGTTGGTTTGGATTCAAAGTTGACCTTTCCTTCAAGGTGGTGGAGAGGAAATGTTAAGGATTTTAGAAGTTTCTTGGCCTCAAACCTGATATCCCATGGTATCACATATACATACACAAAACCATATCCATGTATGCATGGTGGTTTGCCACTGTTCTATAGTGATATATGTATATATGGTATTTTCTCTTTTAAAAATTCTAGGACCTTTTGGCCTGTGCCAGCCCCTAAATGTGATGTGAATCCTGTGTTCACAGGACATTCTGAGAGCTTTGTTTCCTCCCTGCAATTCCTTATGGGACAGAATTTTCATAGCAAATTAACCCATTTTTAAGTGCCTGTTATTGCCCAAGTCCTTCACAATCCTATGACACATAAAACACTATTCTTAGCAATGATGGCAGGATTAAGACCTAACCTCTCTCGTGTCTTACTCAACAGTTGAAAGATGAATCTCAAGTGAATGTAAATTTAACAGTTGAGAGATCCCAGCTTATCATGACAAAGGCTCAGGGAGCCTGGGGCTCATCCTAATACATAACCAGCACCATGTCCTGAGCTTACTGTAAGGAACAGACATTTGTAAAGGCCCCAGTCCATCCACTGCTGTATGGCAGACTGTCCCAAACTTTCTGTTTAAAAAGACTACAATCTTGCAAATCAGAACATGTGGCTGGGGAGTTCGCTGCTGGCTGCTGGCTGCTGGCTGGGGGGGGGCTGGGGTCCTACAGGGAACTCTGTCCCAGGGTTTGTGGGTGCTTCCTTTCAGCATGGAAACTGGAATCTAGAAATAGTGAACCTCTACAGAAGCTGCAGGCTTCTTAGAACAAAGTCATAGGCCTTCTAGAATATTCTGCTACATTCACTTTCTTAAATCAAACAGATCCAATAGGGAAAGAAGTCAACTCCATAATCAGTAATAGAAACAGCAAAAAGTTTGTGACTTCGATACATTAAAAAAATAAATAAATAAAAATAAAAGCATTGAAATGCTATTATAATGTTTAAGTAGAAAGACAGTTTTATTGTCTCCAAAGGCAGCTTACTCACTAAAAGAATATCAAATCAGCTCCACTCTTACCTGTCAATTGGATTGATTATATCCTGTATTTGCTTATTACTTATATTTTTAAAAGACCTGCATTGGATAGGCATATAGCCAAGTGTGGCAATTTGGATAGGAATGCCCCCCCCCCAGACTCACTTGTTGAATACTTGGCCTGTAGGGAGTAGGACTATTAGGAGTGGCCTTGCTGGAGGAAGTGTGTCACCGTCACCATGAGGGAGGGCTTTGAGGTCTTATATGCTCAAGCCATGCCTAACAGAACAGCCTTCACCTCTATTACCTGCAGATCAAGATGTCAAACTCTCAGCTTCTTCTCCAGCACCATCTCTGACTGAACGCTGCCATGATTCCTGCTATGATAATGACGGACTAAACTTCTGAACCATAAGCCAGCACCAGTTAAATGCTTTCCATTATAAAGGTTGCCATGGTCATGTTGTCTCTTCACAACAATAAAAACCCTAAGTGTCATAATACCTAGCATGTTTGAGATCCTGGGTTCGATTCCCCACCATGCTCACAAACCAAACATGATTTATACAACTTAGAGAAACACTTCGGCATTTTGTAAATACTAATGATGCACAGCTATTTTTTCAACTACACTTAAAATAACTTCTGTCTCAACACAATATTCTAGGATTTATTGGAGGCAGCAAAATAGTAGGTAAAAGTCCAGAGCCAAATACCTGTATTGTAACCCTTTCATTTTCCTTACAATGTAGCAAGACACTTCACCATGGAGAGAACACATGTTGGGTTGTTGCCAAAGGCATTTTGCATCTGTTAATATGATCATGGGGGGAAGGGATTGCCACTGTTGTTTAAGCCCATTGATATGATTTATTAGATTTGTCTTCATTATTCATCCAAACATCAGCAAGTGACTTTGTCATGGGAATCAGATGCAGGATATAGCTTTAGAGCCCAAATTAATTCCTCCTGCACCGTATTTTCACTTACAGATCAGTAGATTGCTTTCCTATTTAGATCTGAATAGCCACATAATAAAAGTTTCCACTGTAGTAAGGAGATTAGAAAACCCTTCCGTAATCAGTAGGGTGGCTGTGCTGAAGGAGAGGGAGCATGTGTTGGCCAGGTTGTGAAAGCCGGAGCTTCACACATTCCTGGTGGGAATGTAGACTCATGCCGCTGCTTTGTAAATACTGTCTGGAAGTGCCTCAAAAATGAACATAGCCACCACATGGGCAAGATACAACAGAAAACATATCTGCACAAATTGTGTCAGCAAATGTTCACATCAATATTATTTTTAACGGGCAAAAAGTGGAAAATCTAAGAGCTCATTAACGTCATACATGAATAAACATGACCAAAAAAGTCTCACAAATGCATGTGGTCCCATTGATAGGAAACCTTCAGAAGGAGCAGATTTATGCAGACACAAAATTTCTAAATGGTTGCTTGAGGCTCAGAAAGAGAAATGAGAAGCAGGCGTCTATTTGCCCTCTCTCTCTCTCTCTCTCTCTCTCTCTCTCTCTCTCTAACTCCTAAGTGTGTAGCTTAGAATCCAAAGTTTCTTTGCCTCCACAACAGCTGCTTGCATTTTTTAAATTGCCATAAATGAAGAATCAGTCCCTTGAGAAGGTGTGCACTTATACTTCCTTTATAATTAATATGCTTTTGTTCTCTCCCAAAGGACATCCAAGGTTTGAGGTTATAACAATAAAAACACATTTCCCCCAGGAAAAGCCATTTATGCAGATTTTTCATGTATCATATGCCATGATGTGGTCCCAAAGAAAAATGTAAATATTGATAGGAACAAACAGACGATAAAGGATGGGAAACAATGGATGGAAAATACAAGAATTTTGGAGATTACAGAGTGCTGGTTTCTATCTCATTGCTTTTTCCTTCGTGGTTTGTGGCATCAACAGCTTGACTTTTCTACAAATGTTCAAATACATATCAACTATATTTGATATAAACGTTGTAGCTAATGTGAAAGCTAAGTACCAAAGATTATGAAAATGATATGTAGGACATATGTTGGGAATGCAAGATAGGGGCTCATTATGTGAAGGAATCCCATTGATATTCTCTTTTAGGTGAATAATTACTCAATACATTTTTATCATACTATGAAAAAAAAGTTACTCAATGAAAAAGCATTGCATAAATCTAGAATGCCAGCCACAATTTTGCTATATGAAACCAAACTTACAGATGTCCACTAAAGGATGTATCAGTCATAGTTGAGAAAGAGCTAACAAATATGTATCGATATAAATAGTTCCAAGGAGTGACTTTTTTGATGACAAGAGCAAACCAAACACACAGGTGGTCTCGAGAAGCCATCTGTGGCTGTGGTCTGTGTCTGTATTTGCACATTTGCCTAACCAGCAAAGAAGGAGATCTGCCAGTGAACAGCATCCAGTATAAATCAATTCTTAAGAACTTGACCCTACAAGTTCCAGTGTGACCTCTTTAGTGTGTTCTGTGACTGCTCATTACAGTCCTTGTAGCTGTTTTCAGATATGGCCATTTTTCCCCTGCACAGTTTTATACAGTTGGATGTTTTCTATGAACCTAATAAATGAGACCTAGTCATTTGCAACAAGAAGTGTTTTCAGGAAAAAAGAAAAAAGAAAAGGAAAAAAAAAAAAAAAAAGCCTACAAGAAGACAGAGCCATCTAGTGGTAGACGTAGGCATTCCAGCTACTTTGCAAGGCATCTGGTTCAATAATTTTTCAAACTTTACTTTGAAGTCAAAATTGAGAATTGATATGTAAAAGATGCTGAAGCGGAGTTTTGAATTCCAAAGAGTTTAAAAGACACTTTTAATTACATCATTAATACAGACCAAACGCCCCTCCATGGAGTCCCACCGCACCAAGGTATAAAGTTCATCTTACACAACACTGTGCAATAGACCTTTGCATCCCAAATGACGTATAACACGGCTTATGCTTGCCAGAA